GTAGCAAGATCTTCCAATCAAGTACCAGCAGTCAGCATGGATATGTTTCAAAAGTATGAAACTTACAAGTCATCCCAAACAGCAAAAGGCAGTTTGTGTTAAATTTATAATAAATTTATTATAATAATAACAGGCTTGGTTAAGGGAAGGGTGGAGGTGGATCATTGGTTTCTGTTAACAAAAGAATCTACCAGAATAATTCTGATTTGCCTGTCAAACAGATTTTAGTGGGGAAAAACCCCTTAGACATGTTGAACAATAAATAAAAAATATATTTAATAATTGGGAATTACTTATATATATTGCAACACATATCTTCATGATGTAACATGTCTAAGAGGTCCACAGTTAACATACAGAAGATGCAACAAGTTGAGTTCAGTAGAGATAACAACACCTTCTCACACCTTAGTATGGTTTTCCTGTTCCTGGCATGGCCTCTACCTACCACGTTAATATGCCATGACACTTACTTCTACTCAAGATAACACAACCAGCAACTTTGTAGTGGAGGGCAATACCACATCCAACATGTCCAAGCTTCCAGAGTCCCAAATTGAATGTCTTACTTACAGTTTGACAGCTGTCACTTCCAGCAGCACTCTCCCATGAAATAACACCTGCAATTACACTTTGTACTACTGACACAGTGTACCACGAAGTAGAAAAACACAATGCATTTATCTCTTTACCATGTTTATAATTAACATGTTGATATGCAGCAATTACCATGGTTACTATTTTGAACTTCATATATAATTACTAGCAGTGTGAAAACAATAAGCCAAATGGCAGTGATGAAGAGCTGGTCACACTTGTCACAAATACTGAACATGAGAGGGAATGTCACTGTATTAAAACATAGAGCCTAACTTCATTCACAGAGCCAATATAGGTCTTGTTTAACCAACATCAGTTTGTCAACCCTGGCAAAGCTGATCCTACAAACAGCTCTCAACACTGACCAAACAGTCATTCTCTGTGCAGTTTCAAACTTAATATATTCGTACATAGTATGCTCGCTCATGTACTGACACTTTGAAAAATAAAGTGCTTCACAAAAAAGGGGTTTTGACATGCAAAGTAAGCCAGGCCATAAAGGAGCACCAGGACATACATTCAACATACCGTCCTAATGGACTTCTCAAGGTACAATAAATGCAATGATATCTCTTAATATCTTGAAAGGAATTTCTCAACATTTTACATTATTTTCTCAAGAAACCAAATATTTGTTTTCAGAAAATCTCATCTATACACTTGCACAACTATAAGGTTGTAAATTTTGTATTAAAGTTTGTAATTTATCGCCATGGAGTAAATTCAAAAGACACCTTTAATTTTGCCACCATTATTAACCCTACCTTAATTCTTGCATGCCTATGTGGTACTGTGATTGCTATACTATTAACATCATGTGCATGTCGTATATAAAATAGTGAGCATCAACATTAATGTAAATGATTTCTGCAACAAGAACCATTAGTAGGGCTTGGTAGATAACAATACAGAAATTGGTGACATTACTGGGATAATGTTCAACTTTTTGAAAAAGAAGATGTCAATTATCTAAAAGAAAATTTGAATGTAAAATATCTAGATGAATTGACTTGTGCAAGTTGAAATGGTCAAATGCTCATTTGCTTTGTATCTTTTTTAACTGGCTACAATTTATTCTCTCTTATCTTACGTATCATCAAAGCTACATGTTCTGCAGTGCATCACTATGATACACCGCTAGCATGACCAGGGTCTCGACCCATTAGAGAAGATGTTTGCCACCAGTCATATGCAAGTATTATCAAGCAACAGAATCTAGTAATGGTTGTGCAATCCACAAATTCAAAGGATATATCTAACTCTCAGCTACATCTGAACACATACCCATGTGTTGCCTGACTATTTGCAATACCGATGAACAATGAACACATCACACTTTTCCAACCATGGAAATTACACCCGCAACCAGCTGTGGAGAGACTTTTTTCAGAAGATAATAGGAGTTTTTGTACATAAAACTGTAAGATAAGGAAAGGCTTGATAAGCTGTGTATGATGTATTGAACAGGGCTCTAGGAACAGGTGCTTGCTGTGTCCTCCTGGGAACTATAACCTCTGTACAAGGGTCAGGGTTTAACAAGTCAGGAAATGATAGCGTAATCCTTGGGACATATGCAGAGTTGCAAAACAAACAGACTTAAATACAGACTTAACTGTAAAGTAGTTTTTGCTGTAGGACAAATTCTGGATAAATATTCATCATCACTTGTCAGACTTTGAGATGTCTATTTTCAAAATTATATTGTGTATGTCAAAATCTCAATTTAATATGTTTAATTCTATTAAAAGATATTTTTCGAGAATGTAAGCAAATGTACTCAGCAGTAATTATTACAGAATTTAAGTGGAATTAAATCAGAAGTGGCAGTGCATACTCCCCAAAACTTTCCCCAGGGATGTGACCCTCCATGCAGAGAACATGGAGAAGTAGTGGTGAGTGCTTTCAACAGTAAAATGAACTACTTCAGACATAATATAATTGCTTATGTTGCTGCTACTACCACAGCTGCATCACAATTTAAATAAAATATGTCAGATGAACATGTGAATAAATGCTTCTCAATACTCAGAATGTTCTTGTCCAGTACAAAAAAGGTTTGGGGACCAATAGCAAAAGTAGGTTTCACTGGAATGTGTGTAATGATAAAAATAACATCTAGAATATTCTGAAGGAGCAATGATGATCAAAGCTTACAAAATGTATACAAATGGCCAAACTGAAAGACAATATGTGGATCTTCTAATCTTCTTCATCTACATAACTGTACTTACTGAAAGTTGCAGGTATTCATTTGGCAAGAGAACAGAAATAGTGAAACAGGACATTGATCAATACAATCAAAAAGAAATGAACATTTGCCATGAAACAGCACTGACGTACACACATATGCAGAGAGCCTCAACAGTCAGACATTCAGTCGTGACAGAAGTCAACGAATCACACACACCCTGAGATAAACATATTTTGATGGGAGCATGAGCCTGGAATAAACATTCAGCTGAAGAAATAGCTTGTGTAATTTACATTAAATCTCCCTGTACAATTAGTATAGGTCTTACATTGTGAAGGGGATGGAAGCCATCCACTCCCATACATTGAAGAAAACATAATATGTTACCATTGGTTACTCATGACTATTAAATATTTCAATGCATGTTCTAACTTTTAAATAATGCATGATTAAGTAGAAAAAAGTGGTTTCAGCTACTTGCAGCTTCCAAACAGAAACTTTCTCCATGTAATTTTGTAAGAACACTTGCTGAAAACTGCTTTCCTATTTCTATAATATGTACCACATGATTTCTTTTTAATTTTCAAGACATAAGCATCATTAATATAAAATTTGTTTAACACATGACAAGTAGACATTTGAAATAGTAAGGTATTTTTCAAATTCTGTGATTGTCCTGAGTTAATTGATTATTCTGGAATTCAAGGCCAGAGGTTGGTACCGCACATGACCATGGTTAGTTTCATGTACTCCATTATCAGGTGTATCAGTGCATCCTCCATCTGTGCCATCACTAGCCCCACTCTTCCTAGTCTTGTGGTGAACTCTCCAGGTCAGCTTTGCTCATTTCTCCCAATGGGTGCAAACATCTGGCACCCATTTAGGCCTTGCCCTGCCCTCACATGCACCTTCACTCAAGGGAAGAGACTCGTTTTGTCATAAAATCAGGGAAAAAATACCTGTAAATGTCTCATTGTATGTTGCAACATAATACATTTCAAATTAACTTTAGTCATGATTGCCATGTTGTTATTAACATGAAGTTCTTATATGACCAGAAAACTTGATATTTAGAATTTTACAAATTTGTAAAAATGTGTAAGTTCAATATATTCATGAGAACTATTCATATGAACTTCCAACTGTCATTTATTTATATTTATTAATTATCAAGTTTTCATAATGATAAAATAGTCATTGTTTTCTTGATACAAATAGTGTTGTTCTGATAATATTCACACAAAATGAAACATATTTATCCGATAATTATCACAAATTACTGGTTATACCTAATTGTAAACTATGATATAAGAGATCATAAACATTAGTTATATTACAAGACAGGTAAATCTTTTCTGCAAGTGTTACATTTGTTCATATTACCTGCAACAATGTGAATAACATACATTGTTATTCATGTTTCACAATGTCTGTGTCAAGGTATTATAAACTATTACATGACACAGTAACTATTGGTATGAAATAAATATTTATTAGTACAGCTGGAGAACATTTTAAGAACTGAAATAATCCCATACTGCCTGAAAAAAAGAAACAATTCAAATTTCTATTATAATTTTAGTTGTTTAATCCACCTCGAGAATCATAAACTCCTTTTTAAGATATATGATTGATCGTATTGCAATATGTTCTCATTCCTGGAATTTAAGCTGTTTGGAAGACAATGAAGACACAACCTGAACATGATGGAATTCCTTTTCTTTTGACAATACATTGTATGTCCATAGTATGACCGGATGAACAGGACAATATGTGAGCAACATAATATTAACACTTCTAGTTTGTAGCTTCATCGTAATGAATCAATATCTTACATAGAAATATAAAAGAAAACTGGATGTAGAAAATATATCATGATTATCTACAGACAGTTAGGCACAAAGGTCATATCATGACTCCAGAATTGTCAATTGAATTGATATAAATAATAAATAAAACTAAAAATAGTTTTGAAAGATCAAAACTGGCATGAGGAACAAAGAGTGAAGTTTCAATCAAATACGACGTAATACAACAGTAACTCGAAGTGCATCCTACTGACTGAGATAGTTCCTACTGCCAAGATAGGCCCTGTTTTAGCCATGGCATGACATCCATACCTCCTCATTATAAATGGTAACTTTAGATCTGTAGTGCAATGTGAACCCACAGCCTAGGCTCCCCATATATACATAGCTACATAGTCTCCATTCAGACACAGGCAGACGGGGAAACAAGTAGCACCAAACAGCCATTTTGTCTACCATCACGGGAATTTTTCCAAGTATGTTCACTTCACATGCAGCAATTATCACCAAGTGAATGAGATATATATGATTCATATTTCAGGAATCTTAAATTTCTCAAGAAAATGATGTGTGATGTACGTGTACCGCTTGTGTATTGTGAAGGAGCTTAGAATGGCGTCTGCTATTCAGAGTGTTATTTTCATGTTGTTTACTTGTGTATTAAGCCAAAACAACAAAGGAACCGACGGTTGATTGCTTTAGGCACGGTTTCGCGTTATGAGGCAGGTGAAGCACAGGTCTTTGCATGTTTTTCTGCACTTGACAACGATGCCATAGACGGGATCCGTGTAGCCGTTGACATGCTAATTAACAGTTAACACCGGAGGTGCCATTATGGAAGACAGAGCTATAAACACAAGTCCTGGCGTAGTGCTACATCGAACAGCTGACATGGCCCGGCATGGAACTTCAAAGACAAAAGTTCTGCTGGCATCGCACAACTTGGGACAGGAAAGTTTGACTGCGGTTCTAACAGAGATTGTGCAAAGTATTGGTCAAAATAAGAGCCTGGACGTACCTGTGTTCACTTGGGAGTAAATCCTTATCGCGTGAATACTTTCTAACACCTCGTATCCACCGCACTCACTGGAATCAACTGTTGCTTCGTTGTCTTAGAGCGCTCACAGAGGCCATGTTGAATCAAAACAATCGCTGCACGTGGTAGCTCTTGGCTGTTATCTCCCTTTGTCGGTAGTGTAGCACTCCAGAAATTAAGGGTTAATACTTTCGGTATTATAGGAATAGAAATTTGAAGAAACTGCAGCTCGTTATCGTTTCAATTGCATGGGAGAACATGGAAACACCAGCTGTCAAATTAAAACTTCTCTGTGTTCGCCATGCGAATGTGCATGGAATCATGGGAAAGCACCTGTTGTATTCCTACGCGCCCGCTAGAACTTTAAGAGGCTCCATAATAACATTATTAGTTTGTATTTATTTATCTGCTTCTTATTCATATGACCCCATAGTCGTGGAAAGACATTATGATGTTCTTATTCAACAATTGGAAAGATTTTAGATTAGATCGCCGGACTATCTTTTTTGACTTGCATCGGCTGCTAGGAAGACGCATCACTCACTCGTGAATCTGACAGCAGCCGAGCTGCCTTCTGTTGAAGAAGAGAGGTTTTTATTTAATTATTTCGAAGAGGTTTACATGTAATTAATTTGCTTGGACAAGCGAACAACACAGTTAACATAAGCAGCTGTTTATCATTACTGGCACTTTCTAGCGCTCTGTGTAACCAGGGTTATAAAGCTTAATTTACAGTTTTCACATGAGACGCTTTCATTAATTGGATTCATAGACTCTGTACACATGCAAATAATTTTGTTTTCGTTGAACTTATGTTTTAATCAACTTCAATCATGTCAATCATGCTAAAGTATATATTTTCGATTAATCGTTCATGATTTCAAAACTTTACATAAAGCAAGTAAACAAAATCAATTTCGTCAGAATATTTATATATTGTAAAGAGTCGAACAAATTTACTCGAAACACCTTTTTCGTAATCTTGTTAAATTTCGAATCGTGCACGTATAATATCCACAGTCTCAACTCGTTCAAATGCAATAAATTCAGCCGACTGTAATTTTAGGCGTGTTTGATGTCTTTTATCGACATTGACTGTCCCCTACGTTTACAGCCTTTACAAGAGACTCAGCCAAGACACATTCCTGGAAATTCAATTCCTCGCCAGGCGGGTGTACACATCCAGATGTCTCGCTCATCACCTTTCAAACAGGGGAGACAGTAATGCGACTTGGTCACACCAGCCTCTCAGCCAGAGAAGAATATTTATTGCAGCCCCTACAAGATTGTATATCTGTCATCTCTCTCAGCACATTTAATGGTAGAAGTGAATAGACTATGTTAATCGTGTTTGGCACGGACGAAGAAGCCCACCATGCATGACGCAACCATCTTCCTGATATATCTAGGCGTTTTACCCACCTCGATATATAGCATGAAAAATATAATGCCTTATACGGCGTGACACTGATAATACCCGTCAATTGACACCCATTTAGAGGAGGAAAATCCTTTTTATGTTAGACTGTATGCAGGAAAACTTCATGAATATTGTGCGTATGAAATTCCCTGTGATTTATCTTTTCACCCTGCTGTTTTATCCGGGAATAATGTTTGTCCCCGTTTAGATAGAACCTTTCATGGATTAATCTGTTTATTTTGTGCCGGCTACGTATGCATGCAGGGAGAACACTTAAATGTATATGTGTAGTACTGAGTGCGAGGGACGTCGGTGAATTAACGGTGAATTTGTTGCGCTTTTAAAGTTTAAATGGCAATTTCATCAGTCAAAAGCTGTCAACAACATCAGTTAATTGCTAACAACAATATTGTATCAGTTCAGAACCTTGTATAATTGTACTATATATACACCTTGCATAATTGTAAATTTTGTGCACGGAATTATAATATGACTTTTCAAAGTATTTCTTTTGGTTTTGTCTATAAGAAATAAAAATCTTATTTTTCATGAAACGAACTATCCAGGAGCATATACAGAAGCTATATGCAAGACTATTTGAGCGTAACGAACAGGTGTAGTGGGTCCATAGGTTATGGGGTTTGCCCATCGGGGATGAACTGTTTTGATTCTCCCAGTGTTTGAAGCAAGTGAATTGTCTACAACCCTGCTTTAATCACCACCATGACACTCTCTTCCGCTTGTCAGTGAACCGCCGATCCTGCAATGAAAATTCCCGGAACAGTAATATGAATATGTTCTGTCACAACCGCCTTCACTCCTTGTGATGAAAGATTATGACGACTATATATACATGATACAAACACAACTGAAAATTTCTCTCTAACCTCGATTTATTTTATTTTAATTTATATTGGAGATAGGATGCCCTTATTCCATCGCCTGTTCATCGTTTAGTCATGCACAGATCTAGCAGCAATCTCCATCTCAAGTACCTCACACTGTGTAAACTCTACTAGAATATGAGAAACGTATCCCATTGACTCATGAAGCGGTTTAACGAGTCGGCGTTATTTATTCATAAATCGTGTCAAATTTCAAATTTCTCTACCATATCGGTTTGCACTGGTTATTCATCGAGGACTTCTATGTTTTAAAGATAAGGGTGTATCGATTAATGAGTACCAATCTGCCAGGGTGGAGAATGTATGTGTGGTAGCTGTGCAGCCAAACCCGACAATGTGAAACCCGTAACCTAATAATATTAGCTCGAGTGTCCCGCATTCATTAGCAATGTATACTCCTACCCCATGTATTATCACTGGCATTTGCGTAAGAAATCTCTCTTCTAATCTCCACAACTGTGTCTTATTTGTATTTCTCTGTTTATCAAAAGTATAAACATGACTTCCATTGTTTTGTACATTATGTACCCACTATTATCAACACTGCTGCCACAATGTATAGTCATGTATGAAGTGTGGTGGTTCAGGACAGAGAGTAAGTGTCAATGTGGGAATAGGTCAACTGTCCCAACATCAGAGTCCATAACATCCATACCTCTAATTTCATCCTTACTATTTATGTCAGCTTACATAACAAAGGCTTCTGAAGTTGCTTGTGTTTTCTAAACTTGTTTGTACGAGTTTTCTACTTGGGCCAGGCACTACTCTGGATGTCTGGTCTTATCTGTAATAGGAGAAACTCAGAAATGAAATATCATTTGAAAAAACTTTAAGCTGTAATTTATTTCTTGTCATGTATAAGCCAGAGAGGCCGCTTTGTAGATGATGAACTTGTTCTGAAGTATTTTGTGTCCTTATATGTTTTGTAATGTCTACAGATGTCTCGAATTGCCCGTGCATGCATCTGTTAACACATGCAACCAGTTATGTGACCTGTTGTCATGTTGTAGTTAACAAATTGTTATCGTCACTCACTAGAAAAAACGTCACCAGCCCATGACGTCACAAGTACTTAGATACAGTTTCGGGGACGTGCGTCAGTGTTTCCTTGTTTCACAGATAGGCGCGATTGGTATGTGACACTTGATCAGATACACTATAAACAAGGATACGACATCTTTGTGTGCCTAACAATACGTTTAAAACTTAAGCGACTCTGGGTTCAGTCGCTGTGTGTCGTACCGGTAGGTTCCGATTGTATTAAAGTGTAGAAGCGTAGATAAGCCTGTATGGACTTTAGCCAAAACCTGCACTATAAATATGGCAAATCATATGGCATCTCTCTTCGGTCGGCTGGTCGGTCTTGTCATTCCATCAATATGTTTTTGCATTTAGCATTCCGCATTTTTTGCTCAGTGTTGATGCGTAAACAGTTAACCCGTGCACACATGTGCCCGGCAGACTGGGAATAGCGGGTCACGTGGTCCTATGGGGATATGAATGGCCGGCTGGAGATGAGAGAGTTATGGGGGGAACGTCTGTCAGATATCAGAGTGACTGGAACAGCGGCCCATGACACGGCCCGGTCACATGCCAACATGTTCCCTCCAACTCCCACCACCAGACTACATATAGGTCCGAGAACTACAAGATAAGGTGGAGAATGTGCTGCAGATGAGCACCTGAATTGTGTGCACCTGACGTATTTGCTGGATGCTAACTTTCATATGAAGCCCAAGGCCCTCTTTAGCTACATTCCCAGCTTCTGGTAACGTGGGGCGTACATACTCCTTATTATATATGATTCGTGGATTCTGGTATGCGTTAATCAATACATCCTAGTATTGAAATAGTACTTAATGTGTCACAGACAAGGGTTCTGAGGAACCAGCTGGTCTGTTGGCCAGTGATGTTGCCGGCTTGCACAGATGGTACGGCGTCAGGTGCTGCACTACCATAACCTGCCCTTGCATACAGCGGGGAGCGGCCTGGCTCTCTACTGGACAAGGACATGGAACCCATAGTAGATGAAGTGGTTGTCAGTAGTACTTGCAGTATACGAGGTGGTTGTCAGTAGTACTTGCAGTAGACGAGGTGGTTGTCAGTAGTACTTGCAGTATACGAGGTGGTTGTCAGTAGTACTTGCAGTAGACGAGGTGGTTGTCAGTAGTACTTGCAGTAGACGAGGTGGTTGTCAGTAGTACTTGTAGTAGACGAAGTGGTTGTCAGTAGTACTTGCAGTAGACGAGGTGGTTGTCAGTAGTACTTGCAGTAGACGAGGTGGTTGTCAGTAGTACTTGCAGTAAACGAAGTGGTTGTCAGTAGTACTTGCAGTAGACGAGGTGGTTGTCAGTAGTACTTGCAGTATACGAGGTGGTTGTCAGTAGTACTTGCAGTAGACGAGGTGGTTGTCAGTAGTACTTGCAGTAGACGAGGTGGTTGTCAGTAGTACTTGCAGTATACGAGGTGGTTGTCAGTAGTACTTGCAGTAGACGAAGTGGTTGTCAGTAGGACTTGCAATAGACGAAGTGGTTGTCAGTAGTACTTGCAGTAGACGAGGTGGTTGTCAGTAGTACTTGCAGTAGACGAAGTGGTTGTCAGTAGTACTTGCAGTAGACGAAGTGGTTGTCAGTAGTACTTGCAGTAGACGAGGTGGTTGTCAGTAGTAGTTGCAGTAAACGAAGTGGTTGTCAGTAGTACTTGCAGTAGACGAAGTGGTTGTCAGTAGGACTTGCAGTAGACGAAGTGGTTGTCAGTAGTAGTTGCAGTAGAGGATAGTGCAAGCATAGTTTCAGAGAAACCATGTTGACAGTGTATCTATACTCAGAGATCCTTGAGGTGTCCAAAATGTCACGTGTACGGATAACCTCGATCTGATGCCAGCAAAAAGGAGACAGAGGTGACTCCGTCGACACCGAGTCACACGAAGTCTCCAAGGCGTCAGGCTATAATTTATTTGAACATTGACGCACGGAGATCCCCGACGTATCACCTGTGCATGACTACGTGGATGTTTCATTGTAGATGCACAGACTCACGGAGACTGAATTCATAACCTCATGACAAGCAATGGCCAGCAGTGTGTCTCATTGTATCGTTCTCTGTCTAGTAACCTACCGGCTGACACTGTATGCCAATCGGTCCACCTCGGTCAGTGGTATACTGTAGTATACGATGACACACTGATATAAACAGACCACCTGTGTCCACCTCGGTCAGTGGTATACTGTAGTATACGATGACACACTGATATAAACAGACCACCTGTGTCCACCTCGGTCAGTGGTATACTGTATAGTATACGATGACACACTGATATAAACAGACCACCTGTGTCCACCTCGGTCAGTGGTATACTGTAGTATACGATGACACACTGATATAAACAGACCACCTGTGTCCACCTCGGTCAGTGGTATACTGTAGTATACGATGACACACTGATATAAACAGACCACCTGTGTCCACCTCGGTCAGTGGTATACTGTAGTATACGATGACACACTGATATAAACAGACAACCACCGCAAGTCGATACATCAGTTGTTAAACATCCATGGAAGTATGTTATTCAAGCTCAGTACTTTTGTTCATTTGCTAATGTCTGTTAAACCTACATGAGCACCCCAAGTAAAGATGTCAGGGACACCGATGCCATCTACACATTGTGATGTTAGAGACCTGACCAAGGTAACGGACATTTTGTTGGGGTCCTTAGTCCCACACCATGACTGTGGAATATATTTATTTTATGAAAACAAACCAATCTAAATATGTATACAAAAGCAAGATAGCCAGCTCTATTCCACTATGAAATCAGCGTCAGGAAAATTATTTGTGAAATTTTAGAGGCGAGAAGAGTATTGTGTAATATAAGATTTTATAGACTACATGTTAGTCTATGGGGACCCGTACATGGTAATCTTCGTAAAGACAGGTTATAAGTGTACTCCGCAGTAAACATATCTTTATTTTTAATACAATACGTGACACTTCAACAATCCACATATACTGTAGCCGGAGTATATGCTGGCGGTAATTCCGTATCAACGTCTTAACAGTAACATAGAAATCCTGTTACACATTTACAACAACAAAAATCCTTAAACTTATATCCGGGCCAGAGTGTGATCCTGCCACACATCATTCACGAGGAAATGCGAGGCGGGATCCAGCTTTAAGCGGATCTTTGTTTAATTTATTTAAATCGTTTCCTCTGAACATAGATCAACTGTGCCCACAAAGAATAAATAAAGGCGATGAGCATTACTGGGACGAGTGACAGGTGATCCAGAGATCTAGTGTTACCGGCGACACTTTGTGAGACTTTAACCCTTGTATATACGCCTGACCCGAGGCCGCACTTAAACACAATAGATCTAAGCTTGTTCGCTAGTAATTAACTGCGGTCGCAGTCGAAGATCCGCCTTCTCCAAAGCGTCCATATTGTAATCCCGCATTAATAAACGCACTTCCGCATACACATGACCACATTTCTTCCGACTCCCTTTAATGAGAGAAAAACCGACAGACAAACATCAGACTGACGGACAGACAGAGAGATTGTGCATGTCATTTTTGTTTTCTCCACACCCAA